AAAGGGGGGAAAATAAAGGCGAAAGCCCGCAACTGGGAAAGCTCGACTGGTATTATCTGCACGAAACGATCGCATTATGCGGGAATTAACTTCGATTGCCGCCAGTTGCCAGACATTTTGTGTCTCGCCACGAGAACACTCGCGGAATCTAGGATGCTCTATGACGATGTTCTATGGTTGCTCGAGTTTCAGGGTGTCCTATGATGCAGATCATAGAGACGATGAGGTATTAGGTTAGACGTTGAGCAGAATTTTGGAGTTGGAAGATGAAGTTTTACGATGAACGTTGAGGTACTGGGATTGTAGATGTTGGGATTGCTTTGGGCTTGTATGATCGTGTTTGACGATGGAAGATCTAATACTGAGGTACCAGGGTTGGTTTGGACTTGAATGACGAAGTTTTATGATGGAAGTTCAGATATTGTGGTATTGGTATCGGTTTGGAGTTGAATGGTGATGTTTGAGGATGGAGGCTGAGATATTGAAGTATTGGGATTAAGTGTTGGATGGCTTTTGGACCTGAATTATGAAGTTTAGCGATGCCTAGTGAGGTACTGAGGTATTGGGGTTGGTTTGGACCTGGATGACGAAGTTTAATGATGGAAGTTCAAATACTACGATATTAGTATTGGTTTGGAGTTGTATGATGATGTTTGAGGGTGGAGGTTGAGACACTGAGGTATTGGGATTGGATTGGGCCTATATGACGAAGTTTGATGATGCAAGTTCAGATATTGTGGTGTTGATATTGGTTTGGAGTTGTATGATGATGTTTGAAGATGAGGTTGAGATGTTAAGGTATTAGGATTAGGTGTTGGAAGGCTTTTGGACCTGGATGATGTAGTGTGACGATGCCTATTGAGATACTGAGGTATTGGGATTGAATTGGGCCTAGATAACGAACTTTGATAATGAAAGTTCAAATACTATGGTATTGGTATTGGTTTGGAGTTGTATGATGATGTTTGAGGGTGGAGGTTGAGACACTGAGGTATTGGGATTGGATTGGGCCTATATGACGAAGTTTGATGATGGAAGTTCAGATATTGTGGTGTTGGTATTGGTTTGGAGTTGTATGATGATGTTTGAGGGTGGAGGTCAAGACACTGAGGTGTTGGGATTGGTTTGGACCTGGATGACGAAGTTTGATAATGAAAATTCAGATACTATGGTATTGGTATTGGTTTGAAGATGAATGATGATGTTTGATGATGGAAGTTGAAAGATGAATGTACTGTTATTAGGTGTTGAAAGGCTTTCGGACCTGGATGATGAGTGTAGCGATGCCTAGTGAGATACTGAGGTATTGGATTAGGCCTGGATAACGAAGTTTGATAATGAAAGTTCAAATACTATGGTATTGGTATTGGTTTAGAGTTGTATGATGATGTTTGAGGGTGGAGATTGAGATACTGAGGTATTGGGACTGAATTGGGCCTAGATAACAAAGTTTGATAATGGAAGTTCAAATACTATGGTATTGGTATTGGTTTGAAGATGAATGATGATGTTTGAAGATGAGGTTGAGATGTTAAGGTATTAGGATTAGGTGTTTGAAGGCGTTTGGACCTGGATGATGAGTGTAGCGATGCCTAGTGAGATACTGAGGTATTGGGACTGAATTGGGCCTAGATAACAAAGTTTGATAATGGAAGTTCAAATACTATGGTATTGGTATTGGTTTGAAGATGAATGATGATGTTTGAAGATGGAGGTTGAGATACTGAGATATTAGGATTGGTTTGGACCAATGTGAATACAGATATTGTGGTATTGGAATTGGTTTGAAGTTAAATGATGATGTCTGAGGATGGAGGTTGAGATGCTGAGGTATTGGGATTAGGTGTTGAAAGGCTTTTGGACCTGTATGATGAAGTGTAGCAATGGAGATTGAGATAATGATGTATCATGGTTGATTTGAACCTGGATGACGAAGTTTGATGATGGAAGTTCATATATTATGGTCTTTCTATTTGTTTAAAGTTGGATGATGATGTTTGAGGGTGGATGTTGAGATATTGAGGTATTGGGATTCGGTGTTTGAAGACGTTTGGACCTGGATGATGAAGTATAGTGATGCCTAGTGAGATACCGAGGTATTGGGATTGAATTGGGTCTGGATGACGAAGTTTGATGATAGAAGTTCAGATATTGTGGTATTGGTATTGGTTTGGAGTTGAATGATGATGTTTGATGATGAACATTGAAATGTTCAGGTATTATCTTTGGGTGTTGGAAGACTTTTTGACCTAAATGATAAAGTGTAACAGTAGAAGCTGAAATACTGAGGTATTGGGATTGGGTTGGACCTGGATGATGAAGTACAACGATGCATGTTGAGATAAATAGATAGTTATGAAGTACTGGGATTAGTTTGCACCTGAATGACAAAGTTCGATGACGAAAGTTGAGATATCGAAGTATCGAAATTAGGCATTGAAACTGAACGTTCAAATATCGTGATCTTGAAAGAATTTTGAAGTTGGAAGGTTGTTTAATCGAGGACTGATAATGTGATAGACACGAATGGTCGTGTGACTAGTTTGATGAATAGAAATCTCTGATTTGTCAAATATTCGATGCAATCGGTTTGAAATGTACGAGACCAAATCAGTAACTGCAGACTATGTCCACAAATCTGCCTGTACCTTGTCGAAACGAAGCACACCATAGAAATTCATCAACCGAATCGCGATTGTCAGCTGAGAGCCACTGTTTGGGTCAAACAAATTCCCGTGTACGTCATTAGGGTAGATCGAGCGATCGAGCGAAGGTGCAGAGGCGCGAAGGGAGGGTGTTATTCAGCAGCCAGAAAACCGATGGCCGGCAGCTGAAGAGGCGGACGAAGGCAAGGCAGGCAGAAGGTCCCGCATCGCGAGGTTCAGTCTCTCGCATAGGTCACTTCCTCGTGCATAACCCAATTAAACCGATTATTTAACGCTTTGCCCGCGCCTCCTGCCCCCACCCCTCTCTCCTTCTTTCTCTTTCTCCTTTCGTGCCTCGCCGCGATCACCTTCTCACCTACTTTCCCACCTACTTTCGAGTTAGCGACGACTCCGAAGGTGGTGCGGTTCCAGATAGAGCTGCAGGAGTGGTCAGAGTGGTTGGACACTCGTGACTAGATGGACTAGGTGTGGATAGAGGTTTCTAGAAGATTTCTCTTGGATAATCGGTATTTTTAACAATTCTGTGACGAATTTGATTGATAGATGTGGATGATCAGATTGGCGAGGTAGGTTGGAGGATGATTTGAAGATAAAACATAGTGTCACGAGCTTTACGTCAGTCTTTCTTCTTCTGGATGCGCCTTTATCGTTTTAGCACCATGAAATATCGATGGATAGACAGTTCCCTTGGTTTGTTGGATCGTTTGATATCAACGTGATTTGGAAAGGGGAAAAAGTGAGAGTTAGTTAGGTTTACGAGGATCATTATGGGTTGAGAATAGGTAGTGTTGATGGATTACGAACATGACTTAGAAATGGAATAAAATTTCGAAATGTAGGTCCTATTAATAAAAATATTTAAAAGATTAGGAAGAATATATTAGAAGAGAATCAGGAAGAACACCTATATATATTATGTCGAATGAGATATTTATCGTTTACTCGATACAAATACAGGTTTATTATTTAGTCAAATATTTATAAAGAATTAGTCGGTTACAAATATAGTTAATTCTATAAAAAATTAAATTTCTCAAAGACCAAGTGAAAAGATATATTTAATAAGTATACATACATACATCATAATGTGATTTAACAGGACGACCATTTAAGCAACAAATTAAAAAATTTATCCATAAATCTAGAAAAGGAAAAAGATAAACTGAGAAACAAGATAAATATAAAAAGTTCCTCAAGAAGTATATAGCAAATCAAAATTTCAATAAAAAAATTTTAAAAGTCTCATTTTAGCCAGGCAGGTCCAGAGATAAATGTATCGTTCAATATCAGAATTACAGAAACGATTCAAGCAACTCCGGTGCATCCTCATAACCTCAAAACCTAACAACCAAAAGAAAAATCGTAATATTCCATAACCAAATTTCAATAAAATAAAATTTTTTAGATCTCCTTTCAACAACGCAAGTCAAAAATAAATATATCGTTAAAAATCGAAACTACAGAGACAATTGAAATAGCTCCGGTACACCCTCATAACCTCAAAACCTAATAACCGAAAGAAAAATCGTAACATTCCATAACCAAATTTCAACAAAATAAAATTTTGTAAATCTTTCGACCACGTGAGTCAAAAATAAATATATCGTTACTACAGAGACAATTCGAGCAGTTCCTGTACACCCTCATAACCTCAAAACCTAACAACCGAAAGAAAAATGGTAATATTCCATAACCAAATTTCAACAAAATAAAATTTTGTAAATCTTTCGACCACGCGAGTCAAAAATAAATATATCGTTACTACAGTGACAATTCGAGCAGTTCCAATACACCCTCATAACCTCAAAACCTAACAACCGAAAGAAAAATGGTAATATTCCATAATCAAATTTCCACAAAATAAAATTTTGTAAATCTTTCGACCACGCGAGTCAAAAATAAATATATCGTTACTATAGAGACTACCAAATTTGAACAAAATAACACTTCTTAAATATCCTTTCACCCACGCGAGTCAAAAATAAATATATCGTTACTACAGAGATTACTAAATTTCAACAAAATAAAACTTCTTAAATCACCTTTCAACCACGCGAGTCAAAAATAAATATATCGTTACTACAGAGACAATTCGAGCAGTTCCGATACACCCTCATAACCTCAAAACCTAACAACCGAAAGAAAAATGGTAATATTCCATAACCAAATTTCAACAAAATAAAATTCCTTAAATCTCCTTTCAACCACGCGAGTCAAAAATAAATATATCGTTACTACAGACACAATTCGAGCAGCTCCGGTACACCCTCATAACCTGAAAGCCTCTGGGAACCCTCGAAGCGCTGCCGCGTACCGCAGAAAAATGCTCTCTCGAGAGACGTGATCCGCGGCGTACCCCGATGTTTCGGCCGCTGGGACGGCAGTTACGCAATCGATTCTTGGCGTGTCTTTACTCGCGGAGGGCCATAAATCAAGCCGTGCCGCGGGAGAACCACGGTGAAAAGTCGAGGTGCTGACCGAACCGGGAGCACAAGGTGGCGCTGCAGCCGGGAGGGGAGAAGGACACGCGGGAGATGGGAAGGGGGCGCGCGGGGTAACCCTGGGACCGAGATTACGTCGTTTCGTGCATGCACGGCGAAAGGCTCGCAACGCGAGTGCGCGATGGCCTATTCCCCGTGCCCAGGGTTACCAGCGGTCGTTGTGTCCGAAAACTTTGGCAATAAACTTACGCTCTAGAGAAGGAGTGAGAAGGATGGAAGGCGGGGGGGAGGGAGAGAGACGGAGAGCCGCGGGGGGCAGCGCAGCCACCGGCCAGCCCATCGGTGGAACCGATAGAGAACGACACCGCGATGGAACGGACTGGCCGACACTACGCTGCCGGGATAGTTTCACTAGTTGCGTAATCCTAATGCCGCGTGCACACTGGTGCAAAGTCACTAGCTAAGTTGGACAACTGGGTGCGCTGTTTTGGAATTTCGGGTGAGAGGAGGATCGTTTAGGGTGATTTGATTGCTCGATGGAGGGTCTGGGTTTTGGATTTTGAAATTTCGGGGTTTCGTGTGTACGGGGTTTAAGGTGAGTTTGGAAATTTTTGAGGATATTGAAATTGTTGGATTTTATAGCGCTGTATGTTGGTTTGAGGAGGTCTGATTTTGGATTTTGAGACTTTTAGGTTGTTCTTTGGGGTTTCGTGAGTATGGGGCTTAAGGAAAGTTTGGAAATTACAGAGAATATTAAAGTTATTGAATTTTATAACACTATGTATTTATTTGGAATAGATTAATTGTTTGAAGAGGGATTTGATTTTGGATTTTGAGATTTTTGAGTTGTTCTTTGAGGTTTCGTGTGTATGGGGTCTAGGGAAGTTTAAAAATTATGAAAAGTGTCGAATTATTTGATTCTTAGGTGACAGAAACCATAGGTTCAAATTCGTACGTAAAGTTTTGCTAAAATATTCTGGTTTAGAATTTTCAAAATATCAGGTTTTCACGTTCATCGATACTTCAGTGTGCGAAGAATAAATAGTTTAAGGATAATTTGAAAATTATCAAAATGATAAGATAATAGGATACTAAATGGTAGCAGTCAAGAGTTAAAATCTATAGCTGAATTTTTAAAAACTTTTAAAATATCAATTTTTCTATTTTTTGATGTTTAATAAATAGTCTAGAAGAAATTTAAAAAATTTTAAAATTACAAAAGTTACAGAATTTTATGTAGGGAGTCACATGATTTTAATTTTGTTATTGAGACTTTCGAAATGCTGTAACAGGCATTTCAAAAATTATTTAATTCGTCTAAATGGACATTTTTTTTATAGAAAATGTTTCTTTTTATTTTTGCAGCAATGTAATCCCATAATTTCGAAACTTTAAAGTAGCATAACGCTACAATAACCCGAGTTCCAGAATAGACACGACAAGTGCACAGTTCCGACTAGTGTAAACGCGGCATAATAGTCTATGCTACGCGTTGCTCTCTGCTGCCATGGTCTACATTGACTGTGGCACAACTTTGAAGGTATCTTTGCCTGGTTTTCCTTTTCTTGGACCTCTGTTTAGTTTCGCATTGTATAAATAACTCGTACGTAAATAAAAAAACAGGTTTCTAAGCATTCATAAGTCCTCTGAAAGGTCTAGTAACTTTTTAGGGATCCCTAGAATCTACAATAATCTTGAAACGTATTTATCGAGGAAAACTTCAAATTTTAGCAAACTCTGGTGTTTATTGGTGATACCAATGAATAAATCAATAAAACGAATGTCTTAAAAACAAAAATTTCTATACACAAAATGTCATAATAAATTTCACATTATCATTTCATGTAGGTATACTGGAAATTCTTTATACGTTTCTTGAATTTTAATAGATATATTGACACTCATTTAGAATTAAAAATCTCGATTTTCACAAGCAAATTTTTATAATTATTTTATATAAAGCACGTATATATTTTCAAAATACGAGAATAGATTATTTATTGCAATCTAGAATTATGAGCAATGAAAATTCTATCACCAGTAAGTATATTAATATTATATTCAATTTTCTCACAAAATTCCAAATTCCAACATCCCATTAAAACACAAATCACATAAATACCTATTTGAACATGAACGAAATCAGACATTTTCTTCAAAAAAAAAATAACTTAAAAAGCAACATAATCAAACGCTATTAATATATATTTATATAAAATTTATAATATTCCTAGGGATTATTTTTATTTAAATATAAAACTAGTTTCTGTAATTTTCCTTGTGAAATTCGGAAAACGTAAAAATGGCGCATTTCCATGAACCTAGTATTAACAAATAGTAGTATTTACCTATTACTTAGTACTATCAAATCTCAAAAAGCAGAAAATGTGAACAAAAATAATTCCTTCAAAGCAGGAGCATCACGAGTCACCATAATGCCCTAATCATACAACTACCAACTCCTAACCAACCTAAATATACCTCACGCAAAATTCCAATAACATAATAACACTAAAAACGCCACGATGGGACTAAATTTTGTCAAATTTTACTAAATTTTGCCAAATCAAATTTGCGCAAGACAACCTCGTAGACTTTCCTTAACCACGCCTGCAGAAACTCTGAAATCGGTGGTTCCAGGTGCCCTAGGGTAGTTGCGCGTCCAATAAATTCCCTAGCGCTCGAGGTTAGGTGCGGGAAACGCAGGTCGGTCTAGGGAGATTTATTTTTCGTGGACGTTTCGCCACCGGCTAGTTTCACTAGTTGCGTAACCGCGATAGACTGACTACTAGCTACTGTCGCTGCAACCAACTTGCAATCGAGACAGCCGAGATCGCTGCCAGTTAATTCGAGAAAGTTGCAACCGGCCGTAGATCCTGGCCCGAGAAAAGAAAAGTAAACTCGCCTCGCGACACCTTCCCCCTCTCTCTCTCTCTCTCTCTCTTTTTTCCTTTTCATGTAACTACTTATCGGTTATCGGCGACGGTGCTCATTGCGTCGATTTGTCTCCGAGCTGACTTCTGCGAACTTCGCGGCAGATCTATAGATCCATAGATCTTCGAGAGACTTGGCATTCTTAAATTTTCTCATTGACAACGAGAGTTTCACTTTAATTTTTACAAATTTTCGATGCTCTGCTTTGTTTCTGCTTTTTCTTGATGGTTAGTGAGTATCTAGATAGAAAGTTCTCGAAGTGCGATTTTAGGTTATGTTCGACGAGGAGAGCTTGGAAATAGAGAATCGTGTTTTGATAGATTAGCATGATCGAACAGTTCAGTGGTTCGACAGTTTTCTTAACCTCTAGAAAATTTTCTGGAAACGATGT